AAGTAGAGGGCCTATCAAAGATGTCAAAACAACATCATTAAAAATATTAAATGAGGCCCTCCCTGGTGGCGCAGTGGGTTAAAGCACAGCACTGAGAATCTAAAGGCACTTCCGCATGAGTTCGATTCCCGCCTGCCCCAGAGGTGACCACATGGCGAGGCAGACCTCTCCTGACCTACCCGTTGCTCCCCTCAGCAGTGTACTTCATTGATCTGCCTGTTCTGTTCCCTACTCTGTCTCTGGTGAGGCCTCTCACCGCCCCTGAGCCTCTGGCCTGTACCCCAGTTCTGTATGCACAAATAAATAAATCTTTAAAAAAATATATTAAATGAGCTAGTGGAAAGTTAGGCAGATAGGTGGTTATAAGATCTTAGACAGGAGCTCCAGGAACAAAGAGAGATAGAAAATGTTAAATGAATGTAAAGAGAGACTGAGTGAAATGAAGACAAATGTAGAAAGTGAATTAAACTAGCAAAAGACTTTCAGAAGACTCAAATGTGAAAATCACCCAATTAGAAAGGGAAGAATAAGATGTAGGAAAAATGAGGAAACACTATGCAAAATAATCAGGCTCAGTCAGAAAAGGAAACATAAGGACAATGGGCATTACAGAAGTTGAAGAGAGAAAAGAGGGCAGAAACCTATTCAAAGAAATAACTGAGGACTTCCCAAACCCAAAGAATGAATTAAATATTAAATATGTTTCCAGGAAGCAGTGAGAACACCCAGTGCCTAAATGCTCAATGACTTACACCAAAACTTATTATTGTTCAACATAAAGAAAAAATTCTAAAGGAAAAAAAGAATTTACAAAAGCTATCAAATTAGGCTTCCCTTGGATTTCGCCTTAGACACTCCTCATTCAAAAAGAGAGTGGAGGGAAGTGTTCACAATCCTAAAAGAGAAGAACAGCTGCCGAGGGAAAAGTTATCCTGCAAAAGTATCCCTCAGGTAAAAGAAAGGCTTTCCAGACAAAGAGAAGCTAATTGAATTTATCACCACCAGGCCTGCCCTACAAGAAATGTTGAAAAAGTTCTTCGATAAGAAAAGAAAAAACACAACAGAAAATCCTTCACAAAATGACAACAAAAATATACAATCAGAAGCAGGAGCAAGAATATTGTCAGTCAACAGCAAAACAGAAAAGGTGAGGAAGACATGGGCAGAACCTACATCTTGGAGAGCAGACACCAGCTCATAAAATACTTATTAAAGCATAAGTCAAACAAACACCCAAGCAGTAACCATTATACAAAAGTCCAGAATGAAGGCTCACAGACAAAGAAGCAAATTGATGGAATCATTAGGGAAAGATATCCAGAAAGAGCGAGACAATGGGTATTCCAGAAGGTGAGAAACAGACGGAAAAAGAAACAACAGGAACAAAGAAACATGAAAAAACCAAAATGACTGCTAATAAGCAGCATGTATCAGTAATCACCCTAAATGTGCATCACCCAAACTCACCAAGTAATTAAGAGGCACAGAATGGCAAAGTACGCAAAAAGTTTCAGCCACCTATATTTGTATACAAGAGATCCATTTCAAACAGTGGTAAGGGGCAGTGAGTGGGAGGTGTGGCCTTGGCTCCAAGGACGCAGGGGCTCCCTGCGGCAGTACTGTGAGCCCTGGGACAGTCGTGCTATTTGCGTTGGAAGTGTGTGGACACTGGGTGCAGAGAATGTTTAGGGCAACTACACCACCTCTGTTTTGTTTCCGATTTTTATTTTTATTTTTTTTAAGAATTATTTATTTATTCATATAGAACTAGAGTACAGGCCAGAGATGCAAAGGGTGAGAGGATTCACCAGAGACAGAGCAGGGAGCAGAACAGGCAGATCTACGAAGTACACTGCTGAGGAGAGCAGCTGGCGGCGGGTCAGGAGAGGTCTGCCACGCCATGTGGATCACCTCGGGGCAGGCGGGATCGAACTCATGCGGTAGTGGCTTACGCTTCTTAGTGCTGTGCTTTAACCTGCTGCGCCACAAGGGAGGGCCCTGTTTCCGATTTTTAAAGCAACATTTATAGAGCCTTCCCTGGTAGGGCAATGTGTTCCAGCGCAGCACTACGAAGCTAGCTAGCAGCAGGCACTGAAGCAGGAGTTCAGTCCCCGCCCTGAGATGATGCACAAGAGGAGGCAGACCTCTCCTGTCTGGCCCACTGCTCCTCAGATTGTACTTGGTCGATCTGCCTGTTCCGCTCCCCACTCTGTCTCTGATGAATCTTCCCACTGCTCCTGCCCCTCTGGCCTGTACCCTAGTTCTATAGGCATAAATAAATAAATAAACCTATTTATAAATAAAATATAAATAAATAAAATAAAAGCACCATTTATAAACGACCACTATATAAGGTTCCAAATTTTCCCTCTGTCCCTTCTTTATTTTCCCAAATCTTTGGGCACAATTGCACTAATAAAAAGCCTAACCAGTTTTGCAATCCTTGTTCCCTACTTAATCATATTTTTTGAGGGATATTATAGATTTGACCAGCTCCCATTTCCCTATTTAGGTCCCTACTTAGCATCTAGCTTCAAAAGTGAGATTGGTTGATAACTGCTGCTTTTTCTCATCTTGTCCTTGCCCAGCTTTATTGCCAAGATCATAAAAACATTATGAGAATAGAGTTCATTGGTTGGTGAGTTTGTGGATGAATGCTTCTTATCTCTGATTTGAGATGATAGATTCTAGACTTGTGCTATAAACAAAGTGAAATTAAATAAAATTTAAAGCTGAATTTCTCAATCACCATGGCCACATTTCAAGTGTTCAGAAGCCACATATGCTTGTGTCTTCCACAGCAGAGAGCCAGAGAGCATGGGTTTCAAACATCTCCATCTCGGCACAGAATGCTGCAGGGTAAAGTGATGGAATAGGGCTGCACGTTCCTGAATTTTACTGAGTCAGAAGAAAAAAGGAACATGGCCATTGACTAAATCTAACTGCCCTGAAACGAACTTGATAACTTTGTTAGAGAGGAGAAAGAAAGCCTCCATTCCACAGCACCTTAGGCCCAACTAGTGGGAGTAAACTTGTGGTATGCAAACCTGCTCTTGAAATGCACTTAGTTTATGTCTGAATTGCTTAATTGCCTACCTATGTTTGTCACTCAGACCATAGCATCGATAAAAGTAGACAGAATTCTTTGTTCATGGATTGAAGTTTAGCAGGGGAGAGGCAGGCAGGGTACAGGCATGCCTGTGTGTGATGTGTGTGGTGTATGAGAGAAGTATAAACTCTGTAAAGGAGATTAGGCGAGACAGAGACATAGCTAAGAGGTGGGACTGTTGCCTGCCCATGTAGTCCAGAAGACCTCTCAGACTGGGTGAAGTTGGAGCTGAGAATTGAATGATGTGTGGGTATGTGGGAAAAAACTTCCAGGCAAGGGAACAGTGAGTGCGTGCTCTGAGACAGGAGTTTTCTTGGGTGTGAAGAGGCCACTGTGGGTTGCAGGTACAGAGTGAATACTGGGGAGAGTGACAGGAGGACCACCCAGAGGCACCAAGAGGCTTGACCCTAGGAGAGCTGCCATAGCATATGTTCTATTCGAAATAAAATCAAAGCCACTGGGTTGTTTTGTGCAGATGAGTGACCTCATAGGACTGAGGTCATCATGGGTAAAGGACAGGAGCAGAGAGATGAGTTCAGCCAGTGCAGCAGTCGTGACAAGAGGTATGGATGGGAAAACCAAAGTGGTGAATAGTGGTCAGAATCCACATACAGAAACAATGTGGCATTTCAGGACAATGTCCTTAATGAGTACTCCACCGAGCTTGATGGTGAAGGCTATATAGGGCCTCGCAAGAAATAAATCTAAAACCCCTAGTTTCTGGGCCCTGTTTCACCAGTGCTGGAAAGGAGGGGTGTCCAAGTCTCAGGCTTGCAAGACCTGAACTGTGAGCTCTGAGTTATGAACAAAGGATGTAGTTCTTGGTTCACTGGTTAATGTTTGATTTTTTTGGTAGATGTGAAAGACTTAGGCCCTCCATGATGCCTGGGTGGGATGCTGAGCAGCAGTTGTTCTGAGAATTTCTATCTCATTCTGCCCCAGGTACTCGGAGATGAGCAATTCAACCATACCCAAGCTCTTGGAACTTGCAGCCCACAGCTTGCTGAGCAATGAGGCTGTACCTACCTTGGAAGAGTTCACTGTCAATCTCTTCCCACCACTGTTCACTGCTGCATTTTCCAAGGGTCACAAGAAGGCCCTGAAGGAACTGGTGCAGGCCTGGCCTTTCCCTTTTCTCCGTCTGGGCTCCCTGATAGTGCAGTGGCCCAACCAAGACAGCTTGCAAGCTGTGCTAGATGGGCTGGAGGTCCTCCCTGCCCGTAGGACTTGCCTCAGGTAAGTGGGATGTTGGGACCAAGGTATTGGCAGAGTCAGAGGGAGAGAAAGCTGAGGCGGAGAAAGGGCATTAAAATCATCTGAGGCAATGAGTAGAGGATCTCTGGGCTCTGGATGAAGTAATTTATGATACAACTGAAGGCTTTGGCCTTCTTGGGGCTGCGGTGAAGAATGGGGAGGAAAAGATCACTATGTGGGGGCAGAGGAGTGGACTGGGGCTGCAATTGGGGGCCAGGCTGCCCAGCAACTGAGGGCTACTGCCACTGCTCCCATCTTAGGTCCTGTTGGGATCCCAGGTATCAGCATCTCCTTACACCCATTTCATCCCTACAGGAAGTCAGAACTGAGGGTGTTGGATTTGAGCCTGGATTTTGAGCAAGTCCAGGGGAAAGGTGCCACAGAGTTCTTGGCCAAGTTCCCTTTTTGGTTACCATCGACACTCAAGGCAGAGATGCCCCAGGCTACAGCTAGGCCCAAGCCAACAGAGAACTCAAAAAAAGGCCTGAGGCAGCCATGGGAACCAGTGAAATTACATATTGACCTTTTCTTAAGAGGTCCCTTCAAATTAGATACATTCCTTTCTGGTCTCCTGAATAGAGTGGAACGGAGCTGTGGCTTCCTGCATCTCTGCTGTAGGAAGTTGCATATCGAAGAAATGCCTTTTAACAGCCTAATAGGGATCCTGAAAACTCTGGACCTGAATTTCATCCAGGAGCTGGAGGTGTTTGACTGGTTCCGGGCACTCTCAGAGCAGAGCCTGTTTGCCACTCAGCTGGGAAGGATGTGCAACCTGCAGAGCCTCAAGCTGGCCTACTACCACTGGGCCTTCTCCCCCGATGATAAGCAGTCTTCCAGCTACTTCCTCTCCCAGCTCAGCAAGTTGGTCCACCTCCAGAAGCTCCACCTATCCTACTCCTACCTCTCAGGCAATCTACATCAAGTGCTCAGGTGAATGGGTGGGCAGGGTTCTTCCAAAGTCAAGTCAGAACTGGGAGCAAGACAGTGGGTTCCATTCTTGCCCACTCCTGGAGTCATGGGTGCAGCAGCCTGGGAAGCTGAGCCTTGGTGTGCTCATGGCAGGCTCTACTTTGGAGGCCAGAAACTGGGGAAACGTGCCTGCATTTATCTACTCAGCATTCTTTGTGCCATTGCTGAGGGCCAGTGCTGGACTGGGATGGGTAAAGAGCCAGAGACAACACAAATCAGATCTTTCCTGGAGCTAATGCTGCCTCAGAGAGGACAGCTCCACAGAACATTATGGAAGGGGGTGTTTTCATCTCTGCACGCCCCTAGAAATTTCTTGGTGGGGGTATTCACACTGAGCCCAACTAACCCAAATCCAAACCCAAGCCATCTGAATTCCTTATCATCAAATAAGCTCTTTCCAAACAGCTCCTGTCAGCAGTCCTTTTGGGCATGGATAGTCTGGGTCTACATTCAACCAGAGAAGCTTGAAGTGGAGGGATTAGGCGAGGACCTGGTAGGCGGGTGTGTTAAGACAGAGCCAGAGGACAGAGCCATGGAGCCGATGAGGAACTGGCCATGGGACCAGCCTCCTGGTGGCAGACAGCAGTCCCAGGCAGCGTCCCTGAGCCCTCCCTGAGAGGTGTGCCTTCTCTCCCCAGCTGCCTGCAGTCGCCCCTGCAGACCCTGGAGGTCCACTCCTGTACACTTGTGGACATAGACATCACCTACCTGTCCCAGAGCCCTCATGCCACTTGCCTGAAGAAGCTGGATCTGAGTGGCAACAACCTATCCCATGTGGTCCCTGGGCCCTTTGAGACCCTCTTGGAGGAGGTCTCAGGGACACTGAAGCACCTAGACCTAAACCACTGCCGGCTGAAGGATGCCCATCTCAGTGCCATCCTGCCAGCACTGTGCCACTGCTCCCACCTCAGCTCACTAGGCCTCTCCGACAATCCTGTCTCTAGGGCTGGCCTGATGACCCTGCTGAAACACACCACAGGATTAATGGAACTGAAGCGAGTCCTCTACCCAGTCCCTGTTGAGTGCTGTGTGTACCTACAAGGCCTCTCGTGGGGCCCTGTCAACAAAGGGAAGTTGTGCCAGGTGCAGGCTGAGCTACAGAAGGTGCTGCAGGCGGTCCGGCGGGCTGACATGCAGTGGAGCCCCCCCTTGCCCTCTCCCTTGCCTGTGAGGCTGGTGCAGCTTGACTGAGGGCCAGGCCCAGGGAACTGTGGTCAGAAAGGGCAACTGGAAGCATAGCTGGGGCCTCAGACTTCCTATTAGGCCCTATTGTTTGAAAGGAACATAAAGGAAACGTCCATGGAACCGCCTGGTCTCTTTTTCTCTTCTACTTCAAAGCTTTATAAAGCTGCGGCCTGGTTCTGATGACCACCGAGTCCACACACAGACGCTACACTGTGAGAGTTTGGGTAGCAGTGGAGGTAATGGGGATAAAAAGACGCAAGAGGCGCCTCGCTCCTCGGAACTCCCCTTCTTCAGCTAACTCTTTGGGCCTCTCATTCTGTTTTTCTCTTTCGTCTTTTGTTTCTGCATAGAATGAATTGGGTCTTAATGCACATCAGGCCCTCCCTTGTGTACAGAGCAGTTCAGGCATTGTTGGGAGCCGGAATAAGGCACGTGTGTGCTTTGGCACTCAACCCAGAAACACCCAATGTGCTACCACGATTCGTGGTGTGTCTGCCGGGTGCCAGGTGCCACTATCCTCAGATGGATACACAGAAGAGCCCAGTCAGCTTCCACTGGGAACAGGGATGCAACCCCTCGGGGAGTCTACAGCAGGGCAGAGTCAGAGAAGAACCAAGGACCAGCTCTTTTAACTGGTCATCGGGGACACTTCTAGATTACAGGAGACTGAGCTGAGCATGGAATCTGGAAAGAGATCTGGAGTCAGACATTCTGGAAAAGACGTGTCAGGTGCTCCGGCTGAACTTCCTGCTCTTGCCTGGTGTGGACTGAGGGCTGGGGTCATGGCATGAGGCCAGAGGTTCGTGGGCCCTAGCACCATGTGAGCAGAATGTAATCAAAGCAGATGCAGTATAGACTCGTGGAGGTCGGAGTTCGTGACTGACTTTGACGCACACTGGAGGTGCATAGGAGGCAAGACCTGGATCAAACTGACGCACAGGTTAATGGGAGAGCTTTCAGAGCAGACAGAGGGCTACACAGCCCAGCCCCCACTTAGCTGGGAAGGAATGAACCTTTCTGTTTGTATTTCCTTCCCTGAAGCCCCTTCATAGGCATCCTGCCACCACCCATGCAGCCCATAGAGCCAAACATAGCAAGGAGGCCACTTGCAGTGGAGAGGGCCCCTGTGTGTCATCTGCTTTGTGCTTCATCTGCCCAGGCCAAGGGCCTGCATCTGGTTCCTTTGACCCCTGCTGCTTTGACCTAGTAGATTCCTCATGTACCAAGGGAAGGGTCCTGCTTGGGACACAGGAGCAGCAGTCCTCTGTTCCAGAAACTCCTCACAGGTGGAGAGTCATCTCAGAAACTGCATCACCTCCCCAAACCTACCAGTGGTGTTGACTTTCACATTATCCATTTATTCAAGTGCTTATCGGGTGATGGATATTAGAAACAATAAAAATACCAAGTTCCTGCCTGGGAACAAACTAACAGGCTTGCAATGAGTGGTCTGGTTATAGACCGAGGGAGTGGGGTTTGGTCTGTGATGCTCAAGGGAGTGTTTGGGATAGTCTCAAGCATAATCTTTGTGGGCAGAGACATGGGTGACAACCAGTTCTGCCTGGCCATTTGACCAGAGACCTGAAAGGGAACAAATGCTCTGGACAGAGCAACAGGAAAGTGCTGGTGGAAGGATAGAACAGACTGGGGGCTTGGTGCACAACTGTGCCATGCTGTAAATTCAAATGCTTCCTCAATTCTCGACTAGAAACAACAGCCTCTAATCCCACACAACTTGCCCTCTCCGAATGTGGCCATGCCCACAGTTACGCACAGCTGATCCACATGTTGTTACCAGAGGTGAAACCCCTTACTTCCCGTCAGTCCCTTCTGCTGATGTGTCTTTCCAACACTGTGTCAGGCACCAGTGATCCCCACAGGCTGCTATTACTTGCGACTTGCTTCCCTCCCTCTCCTGCCCAGAGCCTTTCTCTTTGCCTTAGCCAGCATGCTATTTACCGAGATACTGGAGTTGCTGGCTTTCGGAAGCAACTGCATCAAATTTCGCCAAGACTGTAAGACCACCCTGCTGCAGAAGGCCATTTGAGAACATAGTTGAAGGTTCCTCATAGTCTACGGTGAGGAACAAGCACAACAGCAGGGTTAGGCAAGTTGGTGCTGCAACATGTGTGACCTCTTAATGCCTCAGTGTCTTCATCTATGGAATTTAAGAAGTTTGAACTCACAAATTATGTAAGAGGTGCCCCCCCCCAGGGGGTACTGGTGAGGGTAGATAGCTCCAGGGAAAACACAAAGTATCACATTTGGGGTGGAGAGTTTGATAAGAAACATAAGGGACTGCAGAAGCAGCCCCCAGCATTTGGTGTTCAGGATTCAGCATTTGAACATTTAGCAATTGGGGTTTTAGTGTTTTTGGGTCTTCAGCGATTCTGGGGTTAGTGATATCTGCCTCAATCATGTCAATCTTCCAGAAAGCCGTCGTGGGTCTCTGAAAAAATGTGGAGAGGCTTCCATCAGTCAACCTCAGAGAATAAAATTTGGAGGCTTTGCAAGTAACTGAGAGACTGAAACTTTTCAGTTTTGCTGCTATTACAGCCTGGCAGGGAAGGCAAAGACCTGGAGCTGGGTGCATCACTGACCTGTGTGAGTGTGGGCCTCTGTTGGGTCTTTTGGCTGTTTACAGCTACTGGTTTGAGTGTCGCCTGTCTGGCTCGGCTGGCACATCTCGCCAGCTCCGTGAGCATCTCCTATTGTGTCTTCTGTCATTATTTTGAGCTGGAACCTGGCCTAGAGTCTGGCTGCCAAGTGCTCCAGTTCTTCGTAGTGAACCCAAGATGCCATGTTGGGAACGTGGCCTTTGCTTGGGAGAAGAGCTCTGTGTCCTCAGCGGCAGGAAGATACTATCCTGGGACTGTTTGTGTTTAGGACTTTAAAACACCGGACACTGCTTTAGGTGAGGCACACGGCCATTTTTTGCCTCAGTAATTCTTTGCTTTTCCTGATTTGTCAAATAAATTCTATTGTTGTTCTCTGAACCTAAATTAAGGTGACCAAGTCAAGGAGAGCACTCTTGGGTTGGTCAGCCACGGGTACCCCCTCGTGGCTGGCTCACCAATTGATACAGGGCAGCAAGGGATACTAAAAATGGCCAAGGATACCATGCAAATAGTTTACCAGTCACCAGTTCCTCTCGTTGTTATCCTTGTAGATGGACTCCAGGGATACTAGGCCCTGGGCTGGCAAACACTAGCACAAGTTTACAGCATATTCCCCAATGCTACTGCAGCTTCCTTGCGTATATGGTGACCATATCTTCCCGGGACTCCAACACACGGGCTGGCTGAATCAGTACAGACCAGGCCTCAGATCCTGGAAAAGATAAAGAGAATGAGGAAAAAGTACAAAGCCCTGTAGCAAGTGTTTGAGGACTTGACTTCTAGAACTAGGCTGCCCCATTTTGAAATCTGGCTTTACCATTTACATCTGTGTGACATATTTCCTGATATATAAAATATATAAAATAAAATATAAAAATAGGGTCATATTAATGATTTTGAATACCTAAGTGTTATAATAAAATTAAATGTGTTAATAATAAAAAAATTTCTAGAATGGGGGAGAGCACAGCACAATTGTAATTTCTCAGCTCTGTTACAGAACCTGACACCTCACCCCACAGCCCACCATGGCCTGTATCTCTGCCTCCTGCTGGATCCAGGCTTCCAGTGCTTCCTCTTGCTTTGCAGAATGAGCCTTGTGTTAAATTAAATGAACAGAGGGACTCTGCTTGCGACAGTGGACTGGTCCCAACCTTAGCAGTGGCCATTGTAACTGTGGGCTGTGTGTTGGGTGGTAGGGTGGGGGTCAAACAACCAGGAGGGAGGGGCTTGGATCATGATGGTGGCACTAGAGACAGAGAGGAGTGATTGGTTGCACCTGGAATATATTGTGAAGCCAGCAATAGCAGGATTTGCAGAGGGTAATGAAGAAAGGAAAGGAACTTTCAAGGCATTAGGTTTGAGCAACTAGGAAAATGGAATTGCCCTTAGGTAATGAAGAACCCACCTAGCAGTGGGTTTGGAATCTGGAGTTCTGTTTTGAAAGTGAAATTTCACTGTAACCTTTAATTTTTGGCATTTCTCAACCTTATTTGACCATGGAACTTTCCTTCTCCCAGAGCACCTACTGTAGGATAAATGGAAATTGTGAGGATTTTCTGCCCTCCCGCTATGGGCGTGTAATAACCACACATATGTTCTTACACATGTGACTGATGGCAGACACCTGGAGTAGGGTGTGGGCATGCGTAAGTGGGCATATCTGGGCGGAGGCTGGGCATATAAGAGTGCTGCCACTGGGAAGTCAGCAGCAGCAGAGAGGGAACAGCAGTAACAGTAGAGAAGCAGAGAGCCCAGAGTGAAGATTTGCCCGGGGCTGGGAGGCCTGCCAGCTTCCTGATCCCCAGCCCCCCTGCCTGCTATGTACCTGGTTGCTTCACACAAATGATAAAAGCTTGACAAAAGCCTGGAAAAGCCACCGAGGACTCTCCTTTACCTGCCTGCCCCATCATAGAAAATCTGCTCTGTGCCTTGCTGGCACTATAGCTAGTATTTAAATTAAGGCATGGTGGGAAAAGTACCTACAGCGAGCAAATGAAATGTGTGTATGCTATTACTTTAAAAATATTTAAAATAAGGCAATGAAAATTACTGTTCCATAATTCTAAAGGTCTAATACAAAAATATACTTGTATTTTCCTATTCACCTTCCAGATATATTTTACACAATTTAATTTATTCCGCAAATATTTATAGCATTAAAAGAAGTATGCTATGCACACATACTTGATTTTTTTTTAAGTTAACTTTTTTCACGTTTCATGAAAAACTATCATCCAGTTTTCACACTCATTCTGATAATTACCGTAGGGGGAAATGGGATGCGACCCATGGCAGGGAGAGGTCAGAGTAGAAGAAGTGGTTGGGGAACTCCCTGAGGACAGCAACGAGCAGCGTTCTTGGTGAAGGGTTTGGGGGAACCCCTGT